ATTGTTAACATCACACAACATTGCACCATGCCTGACACATAGAAATACATGGCACGTGGAAACTCTTAAGATTATTACAATTTGGGAGCTCTGGTGGCGTAATGCCTAAGGCATTTGACTGCTAACCAGAAGGTTGGTGGTTCAAAGCCACAAGCCACTCCATGGAAGATGGTGCAGATCTACTTCCATAAAGATTTACAGACTCAGAAACCCAGTGGGGGTCACTATGAGTTGGAATTGACTTGATGGCAGTGAGTTTGGTTTTTCGGTTTTATTCAAAGGAAATACAGATGTGTAGAAATATTTAGCTACTTGGATTTTTTTTGGTGGGGGGGAGGGAGGGAGAATTATTTATAACAGTAAGATATCTCTCACAGCTTAGATGCTTAACAAGAAAGAGTGGTTCAACAAACTAAAATTTATTGATAGGATATAGCCATTAAATGCAGCCATTAAAACTCATGTTCTTGAGAGCTATTTCATGACATGGAAAGATCCTGGTGATATTTATAGTATTGTTCTAAAAGGCACAAAATTCTTTATAAACATGCCATTCTAATTCTGTTTTTTAAAAAGGGAAGGAGCAAGGAAAGAAAAAAATGAGTCATCGTACAGCCATTCATTCACTGCTTCCACAGACATTTATCAAAAGCCTACTTGGTGCTAGAGTCTGGGTGGTGCAAATGGTTAAGCCTTTGACTAGTAACGGAAAGGTTGGTGGTTTGAACCCAGCTAGAGGCACCTCAGAAGGAAGGCCTGATTATCCGCTTCCTCTTGGAGTGCCAGGAGTTGGAATAGACTGCACAGCAAGTGATTTTTGTTTGTTTGTTTTTGATGGTATGTGCTGAGTTGTTCTGGGGTAGAGAACGTGCATCCAACAGTTAGAAGTATCTCTGTCGGGTGCCCTCCATCACCACTTCTGTTCAGCGTTGTGCTGGGAGTCCTAGCCAGGGCCATAAGGCCAGAAAGGGAAATCAAAGGCATTGAAATTGGTAAGGAAGAAGTCAAACTGTCCCTATTTGCTGATGATATGATCCTATACCTAGAAAACCTGAGACTCAGTCAAAAATCTACTGGAACTAATTGAAAGATTTAGCATAATGGCAGGATACAAGATCAACATCCCAATATCAGTTGGATTCCTCTACACCAGCAAAGAGATTGCTGAAAAGGAAATCAATACCATTTACAATGTTGTTGTTGTTTTTGTTATGTGCCGTCAAGTCGGACCTGACTCATAGCAACCCCTCCTTGGGTTTCTGAGGCAGTATCACTACAGAAGTA